CCAATCAGCCCTGCTTTCAGCCCGACCAGGGGCTGCACCTAGGGATTGGGCCTGCCCTCTGCCACCCGGGAGCAGGCCTAAGCCAGCAGGTCGTTATCTCCCGAGGGGTCCCAGACTGCGAGAGGGCACAGGCCGGGCTGAGGGGACCCCCTCTTCCCCCCGAGTGCACAAATTTTTGTGCACCGGGACTCTAGTATTTCTAATAATACAAATAGTGGTATCTTGTGCAATCTGACTGAGTCAGTTTGTAAAAAGGTAAAATAAAAACTGCCTGACAAGAGAAGGCTCTTAATAACCATCAGCTAGCCCTCACCCATCTTGTGCCCTGTGTAGTGATACTCAACATATAACAGGAGCACAATACACATCTATTATCAAACACACCTTTTCTCTTGGGAGATGTGTCTGCCTCTGATTGATACAAAATAAGGACACAGTCATTCTGCACAACTGGGGTTCTACCATGTGGGAAGAACCCCAGACAAATGCTCAACCTGTGACTAGTCCACAAAATGTAAAGACTTTATAATCTAGAGCATCAACATAGGGAGCTATATTTAAAAATCCAAATGAAGCACATGTGGAGCACATTATCTTTTAAAAACCTTTAAAACAGTCCAGCTGGTGTGGCTCAGTGGTTGAGCATCTACCCATGAACCAAGAGGTCCCTTGTTCAAGTCCTGGTTAGGGCACATGGCCGGGTTGTGGGTTTGATCCCCTGTAGACAGCTGATCAATGTCTCTCATCTATGTTTCTAACTCTCTATCCATTTCCCTTCTTCTCTAAAATCAATAAAAACATTAAACACATCCCTTTAAAACACAGTGACCTAATCCAGGTAAGCAAAAGTTTACTAGAAGACTTTCCAAAAGTCTACCCAGCCATGAGAACAAACTGAAGATGTATTAAGAAGGCATGAACTCCACTAAAAAAGGAAACCACTTAAAAGTGGTAAATATGGTGAGTTTTATCTGATATATTTTGCAATTTTAAAAAAGTTTAAAAGGGGATAACACATTCCAAAGTACAATGCAAATATGAAGTGCATGAGAATTTAACTTGAACAGGGACTGGGATATACAGAACTAGATTGTTAGATAATATTACTGACTAGAGGCCCGATGCACAAAATTTGTGCAAGAGTAGGCCTTCCTTCCTCCAGCTGCAGGCACCGGCTTCCCTCTGGCACCTGGGACCTGGGCTTCCCTCCAGCCACCAGCAGGCACCCAGGACCCAGGCTTCCCTTGCAGCCCCGACTTCATCTGGAAGGACGGTAGGACATCCGGAAGGACGTCTGGTCTAATTAGCATATTACACTTTTATTATTGTAGATTAACATGAACCCCAAATTAGAGTGACTTTTTTAAAGCCATCATATGTGAGAAAAAGTGAATTGCTGCCAAGATTAGAACTAGATACAATGTACATATTACCTGTAAACCGTTAACAAAGTCAAGGAATTATGTTCAACTGAAAAAATGATCTAATTATCTTTGATCTGAAAATGAAAAGGTTATACTATTTTTCAATTTATCAATACTTTCCCACTGTTATCTACTTATCACATTGATTCAGAATTAAAGCTGGGAAAAAATTCTATAACCTCTATCCTCAATTTACAAGTTTTAGCCAAAGTAATGTCTTAATCCCAGTTAATACAGTAGTTAAATTAGCTTCATCTTTTAAAGTCAATCATACACTTATTTCAGTCATAATAATGCTCAAAACAATAACTCTAAGCTTTTATATGGTATAAAAAATGCCATGATCTGACTCCAGTTATCAGCTTCATCTCACTAATCTCTTACTATATTTACAGCACTTCAACAATTACAGCACTCTGCTATAATTGTTGAAGGGTCTGGGTCCTGGTAGGTCTTGCATTTTACAAATATCCAATGAGCATTTACTATATGGAAAACACTGGGAATCAACATGGTAGATACAGTTAAAAATACCTTTAAATATATTTTCCTGCATCTTTCTTCTATACCAGGATTTTAAAATACCTGAAAAAATCACATTTTATGACTTCCTCAGAAACAAAAAACACTACAATTTATGTCTGAATATAGGAGGCTGAATCAAAACATGAAAAAGATGACATATCATAACCTCCAAAAAGAGATGATTTTAAAGGGCTTGGTGCACTCTCAAAAGGCATCCTGCACAGGTCCCTCTTTTTCTGTTCTAATCACTCCTCTTTTCTTGCTTTCCTTTCAAATTTAACTCAGAAAAATTCCACAAATATTATACTTCCTTACAATCATATAAATAAGAAAACACAAAGGACACCATATGCCAAACGTAACCCAGTGGGATCGGACCCTGGGCTTTTCTGGGCACTACAGCAAAGTGCCGCAAAGGTCAGGCCACACGCACTTGGAATAGGTGTCTGTGGCTTCATCCTTCTTCACTTCTGTCTCCCCCTCTGTTTTTGTGCCTTTGTTTGTTTCATCCAGCCAATCTGAGACATGTTTAAGAGCACATTCAACAGTAGACACCATATTCTGAACAGCTTCAAGTTCCTCTGGAGATGGATAGATTGTTGAATGTTTCACCATAACATGGCGATCATCATTGGCAAAAGATCTAATAGATCTCTGTCAGAAGGAGAAAGAAAACAATTACCTCAATTAAAAAAAAAATGTTACCTGAAAAAGAAGACAAATATATTTAAGTCAAGTCATAGCATTGCTTGTCAAACCATTGTGAAATAGTTAATGCTGAGAAAGTAAAAAATTGCTCAGGAATAAGAAGGAAAACCCCATTCTACTGAACATACCAAAAAATTAGAGATCTTTCATTCGTGTTTGGTACAGTTCACCCAGGTCACACTTGGTAAGATGTATATGCTACCTTTTAGCTGAATCTGTGTTTTGAATACCACTTCAGAAAAAGGCACCCATATCACACATTATCTGCTAAAAACAGACACGTCCTAGCTTCAAGAGAGTATCTGATAATGCCGGAAATGCATGATGATGACTCATGATACCCAGTCTCTCCTTTCCAAACTGCTGGAGATTTCTGCACCTTGAAAAACTGAGATTTTATAATACAGTAATAATACAAAATACACCATTATGTATGAACTATAGACACACTAGAATACTATTTACTGTTTGTCAATTAAAACATTGGTGCAAGGCTTTAATCCTTAAAAAAGAGTGGCAGGGGACATTCCAAATTCCAGAACAAGAAAAATACATACAGGGTGGGGCAAAGTAGGTTTACAATTGTGAGTACATGAAACAGAAATTATTCTTGAATTGTTATTTATTAATTATTGTATTATTTTCCATATGAACACTTATAAACCTACTTTTGCCCCACCTTATATTGCTAAAGAAATCAACTTCCCAAACTAATTTACATATGTATTACATTCTCAATCAAAATACCCTAAGGATAGTGTATTAATACTGAACATAATTTTATAGCTCTTTTGAAGAGGAAAAAAAAATCAAGGAAAGTAAGAAATATTCTACAAAAATAGATGGGTGGTGCCATTGTGCTAAAACAAAATATCAAAAACTTAAAAAGCAATAATTAAAATGACTGGTCCAGAAATCAGTGATACAGATTAAAGCCTAGAAATAGGATGAATTTCATGAAAATATAATAGAGTAGATCCTTCACACTCATAAGTCACATATCAAAAACCTTGAATACTTCCAAATTTACAAATACCATGAAGGCACTTGTACCAGTGCAAAGCAAAATGAACCAGGATAACTTGCTGAGTTTTCATAAAGCCAAAAGTATTCTTTTTTTTTTTTTTTAAGGATGGCTACAGTGTCTTTACTTACATGAAATTATGCACTAGTAGGTGGTAAATATTTGCTTTAAAGTCTTTACCTCAAAATAAAAGATTCACAATTTTGTCAGTGTTCTTTGCTTTGTTTTTATATCAATATTTTAAAAATCTATTAATTTGAACAAATTAACCTATTAATTTGTAAACTAGTACTACAGTATAATTATTCCCTATAAAATGCAGCAACTATAACTAAAAAGGTCAGTAATCCTTTGAAACCCTGTTATTAAATTAAAAAAGGACTAAAAGCAATCACAGAAGCTTTCTTTGTTCTGGATAAAAAAATCTTATCTAGATGTCTTTCTTACTCAAAGTCCACAGCCAGTCTCTAACTAGAATTTCTTTTGCCAAACTTTTTAATCACTTCATGAGATTTACTCATATATCCCAAAAGAGCCATATAACGAATTAGAAAATGCTAGGTTGTTCTAGGGATTATAACTTAGTTGAGTTGCTCTTTAGAGAAGAAATTCTATTAAAATATTTTTGTTCTGGATGATAGGAAAAAAACGCTATCTTTGGATTTTCTCCATCATTTAGTTTTATGATGATTTACTAAATTACTTAGATCTCTCAGTCCTACACACTGGCCTCACCACAGTAAAATTAGATTGCTATGTAATACAAGCCCTTGGTGTCTCTCTCAAAAATAACACAGACTGCCCATGTTAAGTCCAAGAGCCAACAGGACGTAATAGGGCAAACATAATGAAACAACGGTGAAAGAAAGAGTTAAACAATATGAAAAAAAAAAATTGGAGGGTGATCTTATTTACCCAAATAAACTCCAAATAGATTTTTAAATTATTAAAAAATTAAGTTGAAAGAACTATGCAGAAATAGAAAGTTCTCATTAAAATCTGAGATATAATAGAAGAAATTGAAAACAACCTACCAATTAAATTATATAAAAACACAAATTTCTACACCAGAAAATCAAAGCTAAATTTAAAATAAACTAGAAATGAAATTTTCATCAACTAGGACCAATCTATCTATATAAAAGCCTAAGCGACCATCGCAACCAAACGGACAACTGAACAGCCTGCATGGGGCGACCAGTTGGGGGTGATCAGGCTGGCAGGGGGGCATTTAGGGGTGACCAGGCCAAGCAGGAGGGTCACTGAGGGGCAATCAGGCTGGCAGGCATTGGTGGTTAGAAGTGATGAGGCTGGCGGGGGAGGGGGGGGGTCAGTTAGGGGCAATCAGGCAGGCAGGAAGGCAGTTAGGAGCCAGTGGTCCAGGATTGTGAGAGGGATGCCAGATTGGAGAGGGTGCAGGCTGGGTTGAGGGGAACCCCACCTCCGTGCACAAATTTTGTGCACCGGGACTCTAGTAATATATATATATAAAGCATTTCTTTAAACTGTAAGAATATCGAGACCATAATAGATAAATGAGCTGAAGTGTTGAATAATTCACATGGGAGGAAACACAAGTCAGTGTCATTTTTTACATATCACCATAAAACTCAGGACAGAGAAAATCCCAAATCAACATATTCCCCACCATACAGAACTAAAATATTAGAATTTCTTCTCTAAAGAGCAATTTAACTAAGTTATAATTCCTACAACTTTTTAAAAAATCAAACAACACTTAAAGAAACACTATCAGATTTACTAAACAATGTATTTCAAACATACTGATGATTAATATTTTTGTGTTTTTTCCCCACTTATCTTTTTTAAACCTTTTTTCAGTTATATACTAAAGGGAAAAAATTCACACATCCTCCTGAAACAAAATCCTAGGCAGAAACAATCCAACACATTTTACCAATTAAAAAACTAGGCACCAGAGGTTATGGTCTCATCTAACATCTCAAATTCAAAAGAATGAACTTTCCACAGAAAACAAGATTTCTGTGATATTCAGTTCAGTGTCCCCAATACAGTTAACACTTGACCTTATTATTTTAAAAGGATGTGGGAAAAGGTGGCTTTTTGAGTTAAATACACATTTTATACACAATTTTTTTTTTATTTCCATGGGGAAAAACAACTGAATTCAAAGAAAATTACACAACTTCAAGTTCAAGGTCACATCAGCCATTGATATATTTGCTGATGCCAGTTTTATTAGAAAATATTATTTATGAACATTCCCTCCTCTGTACTTAATAATTTATGGTCTGCAGGCTCATGGGGCTCCATCTTGCGGTTTAAAGGGCTCATAATAAATCTGAACTCATTTCTTTGCCTAAATGGTAGAGTGCCTTCTTTATCTGATGCACTAGAGCCAAAAATTAACATCATTGTTTTTTCACTTGCCCTCCTGTGTTAACTTCCAATTTTAAACTATTGGAATCTTTTGTAACTTAATTAAGAAACATAAGTAATAACCTACCATGGTTTCCTACAGTGTTTTAGCTTCTTTTTCCGATCCTTTCCCCTCTTTCTTGTTGTCTTCACCAGACACTGTTTTATGTGACAGTACCTCCTCATAAGCCTGAGTCCCCTGACAACTCAGAGTCAATACGGCAAAAGTTTGAAGACTGCTCTCCGAATTACACCTGTAAGAGAAAATAAAAACAACTTTTCAAAAATGCTTATTTACTATCAGTTTCCTATCTAAGTGTGGAGCCTATAAGCATGTTATAGATAAAAAGAAACAATCTTACAACAGCAACTACCTCATTGCAAACAAAAAGCTAAAACAGCCTTTGAAGGCCTGGGCCCATGAAAAAGTGAGTCTAAGTCAGTGGTTGGCAAACTGCGGCTCATGAGCCACATGCGGCTCTTTGGCCCCTTGAGTGTGACTCTTCCACAAAATACCGACTTCTGCGCATGGGCCACGAAGTTTCAATCGCACTGTACGTGCGGGCCCGCACGTGGTATTTTGTGGAAGAGCCACACTCAAGGGGCCAAAAAGCCACATGTGGCTCGCGAGCCGCAGTTTGCTGACCACTGGTCTAAGTGATATGGCCAGAAAAGCAACCCCTTCCTGGTAGTCACAATGTGGCTGGCAGCTCGCTGACTTGCTCTCAATGAGACAAAGATATTAACAAACATAGTACCACCACCTAAAATAAGTAATAGTACTATTGTTGGCAACAATGTTGCAATTAACCTTGAGATTTTTCTATTGGAAACTGGCATTAATCAGGCCTATCCAAAAAGTAGATAAGACACCTGAAAATATACCACCACCAATTGTAACCATGAGCCTTTTCAATCTGATAGAACCGCTAGAGGCCCCTGGTGTGTGTGTGTGTGTGGTGGGGGAGGTCCCCTCAGCCAAGCCTACACCCTCTCCAATCTGGAACCCCTAAGGGGATGTCCAACTGCCCCTGCACCCTCTCCAATCTGGGATCTCTGGCTCCTAACTGCGCACCTCCCTGCCTGCCTGATCACCCCTCACTAACCCCCCTGCTGGCCTGGTCACCCCATGGCAGCCTGCTTGTTCAGTCGTTAGGGGGGTCGGTCGTTCCTGACTAACCCCCCTATTGGCCTGGTCATACGCCATCTTGTGAGGGTGTGATGGTCAATTTGCATATTATCTCTTTATTATATAGGAGGATGAGATAGGCAGCATATGTTGGCACAATGTTTTTCCTTTAATCATGTTTAAGCCAAAAATTCAGATTTTTTTTGGCTCTGTACTCCCGAGAAATTCTACTTCCCCCTCAACCTATTATGCACTGATATATAAGACTCCTGAATATCCGCTAAATCCTGTCTTCATTACCCATGGATGAATCTAGCCAGGATCCCACTGTATATTTCTGCCCAGAGGCCTCATCATCCCTTTGTTTCACCTTTAGGAGATTTTATTCCGGACAGTGTAAAAATTAACTCTTCTGAACACTGATGAAATGCTTATATAAGCCAGGTACTTAAAAAAACACACACAAAAAACTAGAGAGTGACTATCAGAATAGAACACATGCTTTAACTATGTAGATATCAGGAGTAACTTACATACCACACAATACATAAACTCACAAAGAAATAGCTTTGACTTTATTTCAGTATCTTTTAATTTATTTTAAAGAACCCCTCTTGTTCTTCTTTTTGTAAGTTTCCTAATATAGTCCACCAGTTACTCCCTTACGGAAAAAAAAAATCCTTTTTTAATTTGGACGGACCAGCAAAGTTACATGTGTGACATCCAACTCTCCCAAATACAAATGAAAAAAAAAAAAGACACATGATTATAATCAAACTAGAGGCCCAATGCACAAAATTTGTGCAAGAGTAGGCCTTCCTTCCTTCAGCTGCCGGCACTGGCTTCCCTCTAGCACCCAGGACCTGGGCTTCCCTTGCAGCCCCGGCTTCGTCTGGAAAGTCATCCAGAAGGACGTCGGTCTAATTAGCATATTACACTTTTATTATTATAGATGACACTCAACTGTGACCTATGTGCAAAACTATTCATATCCTGTAACCAACTTCCCTGACTCTGGTTTACAAAATCCACCAGAAATAAGCTAGTGAGGCTTGCCTAAAACAAAAAGGTTATGTAAGTGAACTAACAAATGAAACTTACTTTGATTATGTATACATATCACATTAAGGTAAAGCAGGAACATGCACATGCTGCAATTCACAGGGTCTTTTTATACAACAAACAAACTAAAACTTGATCCTATGGTAAAAGACACCTCGAAGATTCTTTTGTCACTAAAATCATACCTTCGGCAGAAAGATCATACTACATAATTTAGAGTCTTTGGCATTTCCTATTCCCAACCCTATTCCATGCTAGAGGACTCAATACTTAGCTGTGAATCCAGCAGCCAAAAAAGAATGCTATGTGCTCAATTGAGAACTGAAAACAAAGTCCACACAAGCTCTACTCTGTAAAAAGGTAAAGGCAATAAATTAATCAACCATATCAAGAAAGTAGATTGACAGTAGAAAAAGCAGGACGAATGCTAAGAAAACGCTGAGATAGGTTGTGGATGGCCAATATAAAAGTACAGCACTCCTCAGTCATTTAGCACAGAGATGAACCACCCTACACATGCATCAAGAAGTTCTGGGAACCTCAGGGTATTATATAGCATGGTGCAGGAATTCATGGTAAAAGCAGTATAGCTCAGAATCATATTCTGTTGGTGCTGTAAAAGGAACTAGGATATCATCTGGTCCAATTCCACCTACCCTCAGTTTACAAATGAACTACAATCAGAAACATTAAGGTCACACAACTAATCAGGAATAAAGCCTGGTCCAGCACCGAAATAAAGCCCAATGCTTTTTCCCTACTGTATCAATCTGAGAAAAAAAAATCAAATTATATACGGTAGACTGTAAGCAGATGGGAAGAAACTACAACACATTTTTAAAGAGTTTCTCTCTTTTTTTTATTGTTTAAAGTATTACATGTCTCCTTTTATCTTGATTGACACGCCCTCCCCCCCGCCACTCCCATCCCCGAGGGCAGGCCCCCACCACCCCAGTAAAGAGTTTCTCTTTTTTAAAATGGATAAAATTATCACCTTCAAATAAAAAAACTAAATTTTGCTATTTAATAGCTCTTGTGACCTTGGAAAATTATGACTCAGGAAATCGATTTACGTGGGTCTCAATTTCCTTTATTTATTCCACTACTGATAGTTAACATTTATGGAACTCATATTCCGAACCAGGCACTGTTCTAAGAGCTTTTCATATATTATCTCATTTAATCCTTACAACAATCTCAACAACTGTCTCTAATACATCAAGGAAACTAGAGCATTAAGAGGTCATATAACCTAATTAAAATCACAAAGCAAAAGTATACAGTAGAGCCAAGATTCAAACCTACACAATCCCTTTCAATAATAATTTGGCTCTAAAGACACTCACACTTGTTAGAGGATAAACATTAGCTATTTCAAAAAATATTGCTATGTAATTACCAAGGCCATATAGCTGCACAGCACACACAGGCTTTGGAGTCAGACATCCCTAGATTCAAGTACAGGCATACCTAATTTTACTGTACTTCGCTCTATTGCTCTTCACAGATGTTGCCATTTTGAAAATCTGAAGGCAAGATCCTCCATCAGCACAAAGATTGTAACTCACTTTATTGTGATACTCACTTTACTGCAGTGGTTTGGAATTGAATCTGCAATATCTGAGGTATGCCTATACCAGCTTTGCCACTCCACTTCTTTGAGCCAGAGCTTTCTCACCTGTGCCATGAGGTGAATGGTATCTACTTCAAACTAAATGAGATTTGTCATAAAAATACCTAAAAGTATCTGCCAAATAATGTACACTCAATAAATGGCTTCAGGGGAGAAGAAAACCCTCAAATATCAAATAAAATATTTTATTTATACATCAGAAACAGCTGAAAAACACCTTAGAAAAATATTAGCTGTGCTCTACCTGTTAAATAAGAGTACTTTATACAGCATGTTGAATGTATATGTATAGGCATGTGTGTACATGTGTATGATTTCTTTATAAACATTTTTTAAGAATAGGTTTACAGAAAAAAATGAGTGCAAAGTAGAGACTCCTATGTTCCCCTTCTCTCCACCACACAAATACCTCCCCTATTATTAATATCTTGCATTTGTGTGGTCCATCTTACCTAATAATAGACAAACATGTAAATTGACCGTCCCTCCACCACACTCACCAGCCAATCAGGAGACTATGCAAATTAACCCAACAAAGATGGTGGCTAATTTGCATACATAGGCACGAAGCGGCGTAGTGAAGACTGAAGGCTCCGGCCGGAGCAGCAAAGGCCTGGGTCCTAGCTGCCGGAGGAAAACCAGTGCTGGCAGCCAGGGGAAGGGAAGGCCTATTGCACAAATCTCTTTGTGCAATGGGCCTCTAGTTTATAATTAAGAGACCAATGTTAATCCAATATTAACTAAAATCCATAGTTTGGTTGGGGTTCACACTTTGTGCTACACATTATATAGTTTTGACAAACACTTAAGGACATGTATCCACCATTACTGAATCATACAGAACAGTTTCATGGCCCTAAAATATCCTGCGCTCCGCCTATTCAACCCTCTCTCTTCCAAAAATCATATAGCTGAAGTATGCAGTCTTTTCAGATTGGCTTTTTACACTTAGCAATATGCATTTAAGATCCCTGTGTCACTTTTTGAAATCACTGAATAATTGTCCATTGTCTGGATGTACCACAGTTTGTTTATCCATTCATCTACTGAAGGGCATCTTGTTGCTTCCAAGTTTTAGCAGTTATGAATAAAACTGCTATTAATATTCGTGCACAGGTTTTTGTGTAGACATAAGTTTTCAACTCATTTGGGCATGAACATGGGATCATATGGTAAGACTATGTTTAGTTTTGTAAGAAACTTCCAGACTGTCTTTCATCCAAAATGGCTATGCTATTTTGCATTCCCACCAGCAATGAATGAGAGTTCCTGTTGCTCCACATCCTCACCGCATATGGTGGTGTCAAAGTTTTGGACTTGAGTCATTCTAATAGATGTGTAATGGTATCGCATTGTTGTTTTAATTTGAAATTCCCTGATGACAGATGATGTGGAGCATCTTTTCATACGCCTATTTGCCATCTGCATAT